GTATAAAGTATGTTTATTGATTTAAATATTTAAACTAAGCTATTCAAGTTCATGAATATTTACTATTCAATTGTGCTAATCTAGTTAGTAAGTATAAAAAAGATTGTTCATTTAAGTATTTAAAACAATTTATTAAAGTTCATAAACATTTATTATTTAATTATACTAATCTAGTGAGTAAGTATAAAAAAGATTTATTAAGTATTTAAACCAATTTATTCAAGTTCATGAATATTTACTATTTAATTGTACTAATCTAGTCGGTAAGTATAAAAAAGATTTATTAATTTAAGTATTTAAACCAAGCTATTCAAATTTATAAATATTTATTATTTAATTGTACTAATATAGGCAGTGAGTATAAAAAAGATTATTCATTTAAGTATTTAAAACAATCTATTCAAGTTCATGAATATTTACTATTCAATTGTGCTAATCTAGTTAGTAAGTATAAAAAAGATTATTCATTTAAGTATTTAAAACAATCTATTCAAGTTCATAAACATTTATTATTTAATTATACTAATCTAGTGAGTAAGTATAAAAAAGATTTATTAAGTATTTAAAACAATCTATTCAAGTTCATAAACATTTATTATTTAATTATACTAATCTAGTTAGTAAGTATAAAAAGATTTATTAATTTAAATATTTAAAACAAGCTATCCAAGTTCATGAATATTCATTATTTAATTGTACTAATCTAGTTTGTAAGTATAAAAAAGATTTATTTATTTAAGTATTTAAAACAAGCTATTGAAATTATAAATATTTACTATTTAATTGTACTAATCTAGGCGGTGAGTATAAAAATTATTTGCATTTATAAAATTGCATAAATAATAAATAACTAATAGTGTAAAGCAATTAATGATTTAAAGAAATTCTAATTATGGAAAGTGCACATATTGTGTAATGAATATAATACGAAAAAAGCATGGTGTCAAGCATGTGATCCTGACATAACAATTCAAGGATGGACAAATATAAACAAAAATATTGATGATTATATAAAAATTTTTCAACTCAGAACTACTAGATATGAAGATATAATTGAATGGATTCCATTTGATAGATTTGACAATCTTAAAAAAATCGGGCAAGGAGGATTTAGTTCCGTATTTTCTGCAAACTGGTTGGATGGTATACGAAAGATTAATGGTAGTTCGGGTAACTATAACAGAGCACGTGAACAATCTAGCATCGTTGCACTCAAGACCTTATCTGATTCTAAGAAGAACCCCTTTTATTTTTTGAAAGAAGTAAGTTAAATTATATGGTTTATTAAATAGAAAATTCTTAACGTACACCAGTGTATAAAACACGAAATTAAAAAAAAAATTTGATTTGATTGTTAAGGTTAGGGTTTTAAGGTTTGTGTTAGACCAGATATTTTGTTAGAGTCCTAAAGGCTGTTTTATTAGTAAAATTTTAAGTCATATATATACCTATGTTTTATACACTAGTGTACTAATAGAAATTTTCTATTGAATATACGTATATTATATTAGACTAATGTAATTCATTTATAAAGTTTAAAAAATTTTATGAGATGCAGATTGTATGGTAGTAATCTAAAAGTATATGGACTAACTCAAGACAACAAAACAAATAAATATTTAATGGTATTTCAATATGCCAATAATGGAAGTCTTTATAAATTTCTAAGAAAAACTTTTCAAGATCTAACATGGCAGACTAAATTAAACCTATTACTAGATATTTCAATTGATTTATATAGAATTCATGAAGCAGGATATATTCATGCAGACTTTCACAGTGGTAATATTTTGCAAGATGAAAGCATTAGTAATATTATGCGATCTTATATATCAGATCTAGGACTTTCTAAAAAATATGACGAAAATAATTCAGGAAATGGTGTTTATGGTGTAATGCCTTATGTTGCACCGGAAGTTTTATCAGGACAAAATTTTACAAAAGCTGCTGACATTTATGGCTTTGGAATTATCGTGTCAGAGATGTCAACTGGACAAAGACCTTTTGATGGTTATGATTTTAATATCGGTCTTGCAATAAATATTTGTATAGGATTACGTCCAGAATTCTCCTCTGGAACTCCGGATTGTTATATTGAATTAGCTAAGCAATGCATGGATTCAGATCCACAAAAACGACCTGAAATTTGGTACGTTTGGAGTAAACTTAATGAATGGAATAAAAGCATGAAAGATTTAAGCGATGCAAATGAAATTAAAAAAACAGTTCTTAGAAGCTGATAAAATAGTCAAAGAATTGCCGATTATCTCAACAAAACACCCAGACTCTATGTATACTAGTAAACTTATCAACACACAAAAAATATCAAGTGCAATTAAAGGTATTTATTTCAACAATTACATTACATTATCGTTATTTGTTCATTTAAAGCTAATTATACTATATTAGAAACTTTGCCAAGTAAACCTACTGATGATTTTGATATTCCTTATAGTATTTAATTTTAATTATTCTATATGGATATTTAGATTATTGAATTAATTACTTTAAAAGATAAATATTTATTTATTTATTTTAAGAATTAAACTTTGTCTTTTATTTTATTTGTTTAAAATTTCATACTATGTTATCTGATAATTTTAAAGTTCTATAGATTTTATCAAATTGGTTTATAAAGGCTGGTTTGTTATAAGGCTACTTAGTATTATAATATATTTGTAAAACCATTACTGTTATTGGGTGTAGTTCGTGGATATTTTAAATAATAAAGTTTTGGTAGCATCTATAAAATCTAAATCAGAGTTTGTCCGTTTTAACGTTTCTAACTTTAGTATGTATGTAACTTTTCAAATATTTTCTACGTTACTTAAATCTTCTTTCACATGTAATTTGAAGGTCAAAAAATGATCAGAAAATATTTAGAAAAGCTGTATGACACAACAAAGATTTTTGAAAGAATCTTACTGGAGAGAATTATTGTTCTATCTTTGCGGCGTCATTCACAATTTGATAATATGTGTAAAGTTTAAAAGTAGTCTTCAATTGCATATTATAACCTTTGTATGTTATTACGCAAGTACAACGATCTCAGTTAGCAATGACAAATGCCGTTATTAGATTATAAGGCATCCTACCTTAAATTATTACATACTTCATCCTTTCTATCAGTTTTATTACTAACGATTAATGGATAGCTCTCTCTTTGAGGCGCACGATTGAGCGAATTAACATGCAAACACACACAAAGAAGATTTATTCAACGACTTTCGAATGGTTAAAGGATTCTAACATCATTACTTGAAATGGAATTTCCATTATTTTTTGTTGGTGGTAGACGACGTTGGAAGTACAGAGAAAAGTTTATGTGACACGCGGCGGCTCTTCTAAGTCACGGTATTGGTAAAACATCACATGATCTTATAGTAGTAACATTGCTATTTATTTGTAAAACATTTTTTGTTATCGAAAAATTTACTCTAATTATTGTACACTCCCCTGACAAAAGTCACTGGCCCGTAGATCATTTTTATAATAAAACATAGTAAATATTGAAATTTTTACGCTATAAGAAAGGTTAAAATTTTTATTATCGAATAAAATTTTAATTTATATAATTACAACCCTCATTGGTTATAGTTTCAGTAAAATGGTTTCTTAAATTTTTTAAATTTTTTTAAAACGTCAGTCTAATCGAGAAGTAAACCTTTTTAAATGTTTATAAGTTTTAATTATAAAAATTTGAAAAGGTTTATTTCTCACGTTTTTAAAAAAAATTTAAAAAATTTAAGCAAGCACTTTATGAAAAGTATAATCAATGAGGTTTGTAATAAATTAAAATTTTATATGATAATAGTGTTTTATTATAAAAATGATCTACAAGCCCGTGACTTTTGTCAGGGGAGTTGTACCTTATGACTATTTAATCCAAAGCAATCTGTAATGAGACTGAAGATATAATTTTTAATTACTGTACGCACAGGAAGTGTCAAAATGTTACGTAATACTGATCTCTAGTAAATGGATGAAGAGTACGCATATACGTACAGTACATACATGCATGCCGCATCGGGTTTGTGTAAACAAGTAACAAATAAAATTGGTTAAATGCTACTGCTCTGCAAATTTTGATGCAAATTTTGATGCAAAATTTAATGAAATTTACTAAACAAATACTTATTTGAGAATTCATCAGTTTATCATTACAATTTACTATTTGAAAATTTTAAAGTTAACTACGCTATTCTATAATCTGTAATTTAGCAAGCAAATTCCATTGATGTTAATAAAACACTCATTTACAATAAACAAATAACGATATATGATGCTTTAATTTTCACTCCCGAAAAGTTTTGCTGATCTGATTTTCTTGGCAGATTTCGTTCCACCCAAAATATTTATGATGATGTGATGTATACTATAACAATATCGATATGAAATGCGAAGAGCATTTCCTTGTTTACAATTATAGAAATTTTACAAAATGAAATTATCTTTTAGTGTAACGAACAATAAAATTGGTATTACTTCTAATACTAATTCGTGCAAGACAGCATGTAGCTGATAAGGTAGCAACGTACGTACATACGTGGATGAAGTAGTTCCACCGGTGGACATTCAACAAAGTACAAAAAAGATTATTACCGAATGAAACATAACAATTGCCACGAGTACCGTATACACAGAATAACATTTTTGTCCCTAATAAGGCTGTCAGAACACATCTCTGCATTTTTTTTCATCAATGAAGCGAGAAATGATTCTGAATTTATTATCCTAATAAAACATGAAGCAATTTCTCATAGTCTTCAAATCCTTATTATCGAATTTTCATATTCTCTCCATTTTATCCGCTCCTCACTCCAACATTCATAATCCGCTGTTGTCATAACTACTTATCACCCACTATCGTTTTTGAATTATCTAATTTTTCATCCCAATCCTAATCCTTTAACTTTATTCTCATTTGAACTAACATCCTCTTATCAGGTCTCACCTGGTTCATCATTTTCCACTCAACATTTTTAAATCTTTAATTAAAGATGGTTAATTTACATATTCCCAAAATTATTACGATACTTGCTCTCTCAATTTTCTTACTCGTATTAATAGAATCAACGTTAGCTAAATCGCATGGTTCAGTTAACACACAATCATCAGAAACATCTGGAACTGAATCTGTTGAATCAAAACCTATCGAAACAGAATCTTTAAAATCATCAAATCAAGTTGGATCTAAAACATTAAAAAAAGGATCATCAGAACCAAAAACTTTAGAATCAAAAACATCAAATCTAACAGAAACTGGTGTTCCATCTTGTCCTAAAACTGCATCAATTTCTAGTGGAACCGTAAAAAAATACATTATGAAACTTTCTTCACAAAAAGCTGCAGATAAACACTATTCAATGTTAGAAAATTGCTTTAATAAAGTTATTAATAATAATCATTCTAAAGGTGCTAATCACGCTAAGCATGATAACAATGTTAATAACTTACCTAAAAATCAAGTTATTCCATTCACAATTGGAAGTTATACTGGTTATTTGGCTTTTTTTCCTTCTGATGTCGCTGCAGAATTAAATAAATTGAACGAAGTTGATGATGTCATAGAAGATATTAAAGTTAAACTTGCTGATACTGATCCTTGCTATTATGAATCTCAAGATGTCTCTTCTGATCTTATATTACCTGTATGTAAATTTGAAAAAAAAATTACTTATATAATTACAACTTAAAATGTTAATCTCAGTCTATAACCTAGAATTTAGATCATATTGACCAATCCGATCTTCCATTAGATGGCTATTATAACTATCCCGGTAGTAAGGGTGAAGGTGTAACTATTTATGTTGTAGACACGTAAGCTATTAAATTACATGTTAACTAAAAGTATCGTTTATCGTTATCATTATTCATTATCCTTTAATTATTTTTTTATATATAAAGTGGCATTAATGTCAATCATAGTGAATTTGGAGGTCGGGCAACACACGGTGGTACTTTCTGTAATGGTTGTCCTGATTTTGATGATCATGGGTATTTTTTATTTCGTTTATTTTAAAATTTCATCCCATGCAGTAAATTCATACTTTCTATTTTTTTTAAAAAAAAAAAAGTCACGGAACGCATGTTGCAGGAATCGTATGTATTATTCACCACATATAAAACTAAAGTCATATTGTAAAAATTCAAAAATCAGTTTCTCAAGCTAATTTTTTAAAAAATATTGTGATCATTTTAATATTATAGGCTGGGGGTAAGTAAATGTTAATACTGTAATAATAATATTATTATTAGAAATTGTAGTTATCTGTCAGTTTATCATGATCAGACTGCAAAATAACTATTTATTATTACTATTATTATTTTATTAATATTTTCATTGTTATTATTGTTTGAAAAAAAAACGTCTAATACCTAAATTTAAAACTATTCAGGTTCAATCCATGGAGTAGCAAAAAATGTTAACTTAGTAGGCATTAAGGTTTTAGACTTTGCGGGTGAAGGCTATATTTCGGACATTATATTGGGTTTAAATTACGTAGCAAGCCAACACAATGATGGTGATAATACTGTGATCAAGTAAATTTATTTATTAAATTTAATTCTATAAGGTATTTGGATTTTATGAATAAAAAAAATGATTAAATATGTGCTCACAATAAAAATAATTTAATGTGTGCTCATCAAGTTTTACAAAAAGAATAACTGGAAAATTAAATTTTATTCATAAAATCTATATGATCCCGTATTATACCAAAGACCTATATAATAACGATAATAAAAAATACTTACAATTATTTACAATTATTTTTTATAGTATGTCCTTCACCACTACATTCATGCAAGCGCTCAATGATATAGTTAATGGAATGTCAATATTAGGCATTCATACGGTTTGCGCTGCTGGAAATTCTGCTGATGACGCTTGCCAATATTCACCAGGATCTGCTGCAAATGTTATATCAGTTGGTGCCACTAAACCTATCAGTAATGATGTTGCATCATTCTCTAATTATGGTCAATGTGTTGGCATTTTTGCCCCAGGTATTAAATTAAAATTCAGTTGATTTATTTAAAAATTGTATTAATAATAACTTTTTTGGTTTTTATATAAAGGTGATAGTATTATTTCTGCTGGGATTTTGTCTGATATTGATTTAGCTATGATGTCCGGAACCAGTCAAGCCTCTCCTCATGGTATTCTCCTATACTAGGCAGTCTTTTTTTTACATAAAATTTGATTTAATCTTTTTTTCCTAATTAGTTGCGGGAACAGTTGCTTTGATCATCTCTCAAATTGGAAATATGTCTCCTGATGACATGAAAAGCTATCTTTATGGTATAGCTACATACGACGTAATAACTGGTCTTGATAATTCATCCCCAAATATATTTTTGCGTGTTCCATATCCACCTTCTGAATGCTCCGATTCCCCGCCCGATCCCAGTCAGGACGAGGACCCAAACCAAGACCCTTTAGATTCAGACACAGACTCCTCAGATTCAGACACAGACTCCTCAGATTCGGACACAGACTCCTCATATTCAGACACAGACCCCTCATATTCGGACACAGACCCCTCATATTCGGAAACAGACCCCTCATATTCGGACACACCCCCCTCGGATTCGGACACACCCCCCTCGGATTCAGACACACCCCCCTCGGATTCGGACACACCCCCCTCGGATTCAGACACAGACACCTCGGATTCAAACACAGACCCCTCAGATTCAGCCCCCTTCAGATTCAGACCCAGACACACCAGATTCGGATCTAGACCCCTCAGATTCGGACCTAGACCCCTCAGTTCAGACTTAAACCCCTGAGATCTAGGCCATCCGTAGATCTTCCAAACACCTCAGATCTAGGCCTTTGACTATAAATAATTTAGTACAAATTTCAATCATTCGATCAATCTCCAATCCGAATTAGCATGTATTCAATTCCATGAAATCGCCAAAATCATCAGGAATATTTAAAGGTCATCATTGTCGTTAACATTCTACAATTTCAAGAATCATTATAATTAAAAAAATTATTAATAATGTAATCTATAGAGTTTTTGATAATTTACCAGATAATAAATTACGTTGATTGTTAAATCAACCTGATTTAACATTATCATCATTATAGTTCAAATATATGGGCTTGGTACTGAGAAAAAGAACGAATTTGATAAAAACATTAATATTCACAAGAAAATAATTGTCTCGTGAACTATCAATTAATATTATATCATTTTTGGTACTAATTGATTCGTCTTAATGAGACGAATCAAATGGTACCAAAATAACATGATTATGATCAATAGTTCACAAGTAATTTTTTTGATTATTATTTTCTTAGCACCGAGCTCATATTATTGTCATTTAAAAAACTTGTTGCCTAAGAGGATTTATTTGATGTGATTCAGTATTTAAAAAAGGTTCTTGGCATCTTTGCCTCCTTAATACATGCGCGTCAGCCGCTCGAATAACTAATTTATTGAAACTTACAAAGTTAATTAGTAAGTGTATTGTTAATACATTCAGACCTTGACATCAGGTTGAAAAACAAAAATTTTGGTGATTACAAAAAGTTGCGATTATATAACTATAAAGGTCAACTATAACGGCTGTGATCATAGAAAGTGACTATAACGAGTGCTACTGTTGTGAGTGGAAATGGAATTTAAGTGAGTTTGGGATTTTTATATAAAACCAGCATTTTGGGTTGATTTTATTATATGAACACCCTTACCCTAACTCTCATTTAACTAGGAGAATTCCAAATCCACTTCAATTCCATTTCCACTTACAACATATATAAGTTACATCTATTGTTTTAAAAACGCAATTTATTTCTTTTTATTAATACTACCCTAAATAAACACAAGATTCATATTTCGCATTGCAAATTCAATAAATTACAGTCAACCTTCTCTATAACGAACTGACGGATCTGGAGAAAAAAAATTCGGTAAAGAAAATTACTGCTTTCTTAAGGACCCATAGCACTTTCTACACCGAACTATTCTAAATTTTAAAAAATTTGAGTTTATTATATCCGGAGTTCGTTGTATTCGAAGTCGAGTATTCAAATCAATTGCAATGTTCTGATTGCAAACACATCACTTTAAAGAAACTTTGAAAAAATCTTAAATAAAAATATATTATAGTAAGTATCTATAAACTTAATTTGAAAATATTAATTAATAAATAATCTTTACTATGTTTGCACACAAATATCTCAATTCAAAAATCAAAAAAAAACCAAATAACTTATCTATAACACATCATAATCTTAATGCTTATTCCTAATAAATAAATAAAATTAAATAAAAAAATAATAAGTACCAACGAACAACTTGAAAAACGTAAAAACTGGATACGATTAAAATTAAAGCCGTTTAAAAAAAAACTTTAGAGTAAGAAAAATAAAATGATAAGTGATATACTTCTGTACTTATCGTAAAACAGTTACCCTTGATTTTCTCCATTACGTTTATAATGCACTGGTCCTTCACAGATGCATTTTGGCAAAAGCTCTCAATATGTTATGCCTTGTAAATTACTTTTCACGTCAAAAGCTTGTAAACCTGAAAATATTCAAACGAAAATATACAAAAGAATTGCATAAGTTCGAAAGTGCACTATTTTATGAAAATAAGTTCATTTTTTTACTTTCTTCATACCGTTGGATTCAGCAACGTCTTTGGCAGGGTTTCCTACTTCTAGAATCGTTTATAGATCCTAAGTTATTCTGAATAATAATAATAATAATTAATAAAAGAATTAATACAACGAAGAAAAACAAGGAAAAGACCAAGGATGCACACGCTTCCAGCTGCCAAGAGAAGACAGATAGGAGTAGATATTATCTTTAACCCCTTATTATCTGCATCCTTATCTAACAAAGTTTTTTTTGTCAAAGATCGTAGCTTAATTTTTCTTCCAGAATCAGTAGGCTTTGACTACGTTTGTTAAATAAGGTCTCACAGACAAGGTCAGAGGGTAATTCTTCATGTAAAATTCTTATCCCTTTAAAATATTAAGATTTCGGAAAAGCTTCTCATAAAAAAAAAAGTTGCTTAACTGTTAAGTATATAATATAACTAATGATGCGCGATTATTGATTACGCGACATAGAAAAACATTCATAATTTTTGAGCAAGAGGGACCGTCCCAAATAAGACATTTGTGTTACATAATATTCCGATCTTGCATAATGTTTTTAGCCAATAGAATTACGAATTTTAATAATATACAAATAATTCGAAATTAATATTTTATTAGCGTCGGGAGAAAACTATGTTCCACTTTCAGAGCCAATTGCGGTATTTTTTTAATTCCTTGCTTAAATCTCAAAGATTTAATTGTAATTATTATGTCATAAATAGAGATAGGCAAGACAATAATGTAATAATTACTTATTCTTTGTCCCAGTACTTACACATATTATTACTAATTATTACCTATGACGAATAATTATTATCATGTTTTGTAAATGTAATTTGGAAAACTCAACGATCTGCTAATCGGTCGTGACTTGCTTATATCACAATTCTTTATTTATTATTACTTATTATGCAAGAAAAAATAATCAAAAATTGTCGAATAATTATTTATTAAAAATTTTATAAAAAAATCACAAGTTTAAAAATGTATTCTTTGTATGCTCTAATAAATTATCTATTGTTGTAACTAGGAATGTCAACAATCCGGTCATGACCATGACTGATACCAGTTCGGTCACAAATTCTGACCGACCAAACCGATTGTTTGACCGATACTATATTTTGTGTAACGATCTGTAAAATAATTACCATGATACAAAAATAGATTTGCTTATATGGATTGTGCCGTTATATACAAATTTAACCAAATTAGCTAAATGATATTTAATGAATAAATGCATATACCAGGACCAAAATACGTAGTGTATGGTTTACAGGCAAGTTAATGTTTCTATACAATTCTTAGCATTTGATTTGTCCGTGTGACTCTGTTCGTCACATATTGTTATGCTTTGCCTATTTTTCACGCACCATTTTTCATACCTTATATAAGTGCAATAACTTGTGTACACGTAAATGTATATTATCTTAAATGCTGTCTCAATATTTAATGTGACCAGTACTACGTACCCTTCATGTGTGCAGTATGACAAACGAAAATAAAACTTGGAACCAATATTATATTTATTTAAGGTTTTTGATCTTCTTTAGTATAGGTGAGAATATATAAATTATTGTAAGATTATAATATATAAAACCTATCCAATTTGAGTCAATTTATATTGTAACTTTAACTCTAATCTTAAATTTACTTAAATTAATTCAAAATAATTAATTTATATATATTATAATTATATAATAATCATATTTGCTCACTTATACTAAAGATCAATCAGGTTTTTTTTCTTAATTGTTTTTTTTGATTATAAGTCAAAATTTATATTTATCTTTATTATTAAATTTAATTAAATTTATTTTACAGTATAATAAAATATTACATTATTAACTATATATTATATTATTATAGATGATATAATTTTAATATAAACTTATTTCATATTAGTTTATTAACTTTAAATCAAAAAAGAAGATAATGATCCTAGTGTAATAATTGGATTGTAACTCTCCAAGCAGTAGGTCTAGAGTTCAAATTCTACTAGCAGTAGAATTTTGAAAAATGATCTTATTTTAGCAACTTGATTGAAGTATCTAAAGTTATAATTCTGTAATTCTGATTGTACTAAGACTAATTTTGGGAGTATGTAATATCATACAAATAAATTTGTAAAGTATATATTCTATAAGAAATCCTGTTTGAAAATTCTAAATAGAGAGATAATATAATCTTTAATAATATTATTTATAAAAATCTTGATTCAGAAATAAAAACCTGAAATAGATTATCTGTATAAACAAAAATCTTAGATAAAGAGGTTTACCAATCTGATTATCAGTTAAATCAGATATAAAGTTATATTATATAAAGTTAACTGGATTAATAGTATAAAAGAATTTGTAAAGTTATACAAGATACTGGTAAGATTATAAAAAGGAGTAGTAGAGTTATATGAATTTTATAAAAATATAGTAGTTTAAGAGTTACTCTAACTACAAGTATTGTTCTTAGTTATAGTAATATTAGATTAGTTAGAAATTGGATAATAGAAGGTTTCAGTAGGTTTAGCATAAGATCAAAAGTTTTTATATAAGTAAACTGCTTTAAAGACCTAGTAATTATAGTATATTTATACTAATAAAAAATTAGAACAATTGATAGAATAAGTAGATAGATAAATATAAGAACTAGAGTATTTAAATAAAGAATTCACAAGTAGATTCTAGGTATGATAACTAGTATAATACCTTTAGATAAATTACTTAAATTAGACAATAATTAAAGTTGTACAAGTAACTAGTTATATACTCTTTTTATAATTACTCTTTATAGCTATTATAATATAATCATAAAGCTAAAACATACTATTAATAAAAGCCTGGATTACAAGTACTTATTTTTTTTTTTCCTTAAGCAATTATGCTAATACTTTATTAAGATTTTGAAATTACATTTGCAATTATATAAATATCCTTAACAACTAAGTCTAGCATCACCTGGCCACCTTAATGGTACCTAAGTACAACCTGCTATATTATTTCAAGCAGAAATAAGCTACTTGTCTAACTATTTAAAGTCCATAATAGAAGAGTCTTCTTTCTTCTATAACAAGTCCCAAAATTGTCTTCTGTGTTTTTGTTCTAATTTGTTCTTCTTTTTCTCTTATTTTCTTTTTCTTTTTTTCTATCTTTTGCTAATTTGCTTTTT